AATAAACGTTTAAACAAACGTTAACTGTCTGTGTGATATGCTTAAGTTGTTTTATATATATGGATTGTATTGTAGCCAAGTAAAGTGTTGATTTGAGAGGCTATAAATGGATCAAACATGTTTAACTCACTGTCGGCTGCTTGGTCGTCATAAAAAAAAAAAAAAACATTTTTCTAAATTAACTTTATAAAGAAATGAAAATAAACTTACTGGTAAATACTTTGCCATTGAGAAGAAAAAAATATCAGTTTTACTGACTGCAACATAGGGCAGGCTGTGAATTTTTTTTTTTTTTTTTTTTACGGGCTCGGGTCGGACTCGGGCTGATCATTCTAATGATCACAACTCCCACAATGCACCACATTGCACAGCTCCGCAAGCCACTCCCACTAATCCAGAACAGCGCAAACATCAGAGAAAAGAAATCACTCTTCCGTCTACAAGGCTAGCTGCCAAAAGAGTTTGAAATTCATTTCACACAAAATGTCTAGTTAGTTGGCTGTGGCGAGCAGGACGAGGGCGAGGGACGTAAGAGGACGGCGCGAGGCCGGTGGCGTGAGTGATAATGAATGACACCTGTGAGACGCAGCGGTCTCATATCTCTCACGGAGGAGCGGAGGCATAAAAGGAACAGGGCTGATTTTATGTTATGTTTTGTTTGTTTCTGTTGTGTGTGGCCAGCTGGCTTATACTTTTGTTTTGTATTTGTTTATTTTACTATTAAATGTTTAAATGTTCGCCCGTTCCCGCCCCCTTCTTCCCACAACAACGAACCCGTTACATTGGCAAACTCATTAGCGAATTACTCCTCGTTTGTATTTCTTTCTATATGGTGAATTATTGCATGATACCTGGATGTTCCAGTCAGAACATATGCGGTGCGAAACTAGGATGGTTCACATCACAACACAAACGTCCGTGTGCTCGTCTGATTCAGAGATTTAGTCCAGGAGAAATTGCCATCGTTGAAATTCTCTGCAGCAGACGGACTCTATCTGTGTCCGTAGCGCACAGCGAGAGCACAGGCACCAGCTCGAGCCAGTCCGGGCTCGTCCACGACAGGCAGGTCTTCTGACTCGGCTGCAGAAGCCGCAGCAGCCGCCTCCTGTTCCTCCATCAGCCTCAGCTTCTCTTCACTATATTGCGGCTCGTAAAAATAGCCACGAACAGCGGATTCGAGCAGCAGAATTTCAAAATCCTCTTCTTCCATATCATGTTTAGTTTCTTCCGTCATTGTCATAACTTCCTATCTCCACAGCGCTTGTTAGCTTAGCTTATAAACAAGATGGCTGATTTTGATTTCAGTATCTACAAGATAGGTCCCACCCACTGATCTGTGATAGCTCTGTTAGCGCATTAGGTCCAACCCCCTATGGGCGGGTTTGAAAGGGTGGGATCTAGTGCTGTAGTCTTTACAGAAATCCCCCCCTCTTACACTTCCTCCTACAATGACGTAAAATGACGATTTTTGCGTCATTGTAGGAGGAAGTGAAAAAGGTAAATAGTGGATTTCTCTCGTCTCAGGGGAAAATGAGAGTGTTGCACGACCATTCAATAGTATGACTGGGTTTCTAACAATGGAAAGCTTAATGCAAATGGGTGAAGTGTCCCTTTAACCCTTAAAGACCTAGACCATTTTTGGAGCACATGACTCGCCTGCTCTTTTCTTTGTTTTTCTAACCCATTATAGCAGTCAGCATCAAGTACCATATATCATTTTAAACAAGAGAACTTGATGTTTCAATCTAGCTCATTTAAATGACCAATTTGACATTTATTTTGTCTTAGAATGGATAAATTTACCAGATTTAAGAAAAACGGCAGCAGATTTCTTGTGGGTTTTTTTTACTCAGGTCAAACAAATCCTCCTGAAGTTTGGATTTTTTCCTTTAGAAAGTTGTACTTGGATATTCTAGATTTCCAGATGAAATTTTTACTACATGTAACAATCCCTGAGCAAGTTATAGCCATTCTATAAAATCTGGTGTTATTTACAATGTAGATGTGTCCAAAAAAGTTCAGGAAGAAAAATAAATAGAAACATTGTAATAGAGCACTGAAGCAAATGTGACTTTATATATATTTATGTAGTTTCAACCGATCTGGGCTTGGGGGTGGGACTAAGCATCAACAAACTGCTCGTTTGGCTCAGAGGAACAAATCACATGGGTTTCTTTGACGAATCAATGCTGATCAAAACTTGATGTAATCACATTCACTACGGAGCATCTGAATGTCCAATCGCGATGAACCCGATACCAAAATAAAGCCGCGAATCTCCTCTTTATGGGACTTTTTAAAGCATACAAATTGGATTAGTGGTTCAAAAGTTATTAAACATTTAACCCGTTTAATCCCACCGGTCACAATTGTGACCGCAGCTTTTTTCTTATTTCTGGAAGCTCTAAAAATGTTTTTATTGACTTTGGGCAAGAAATTCAACTTTTAAATGACAAAATAGATTGTCTTGATTAAAATCAATTAATGTCATGTGACTAGTGTGAAAGGTCACATGACCAGATCAGTTCACTTTCTGCTTGCACATCTAGAAGAAGATGTCTTCCTCAGACTACTACAAAAAGTAGTATATAAAACATCTTAATTTACATATAGAACTATCATATTTTGTACATGTATTCTTTAAAGGGTCTACTACTGATATATTTTGAGAATTATACTCCTGCATATATATTTTGCTCGTAAGACTTGTAAATTTGTTTACGGTCACAATTGTGACCGGTAGTATAACACAGTGCTTCAATTGAAAACAGAGGTATTGGCTGGTATTGGCAGGTTTTGGCAATCCTACACTGAATGGATGGATGTGAGGGGGATGGATGATCTTGGCAAAAGAGAAGTGCTCACTAACACAGATTTAGACAGATTTGTGAAGAATATTTGAGAGAAATAGGCCTTTTGTGTACATAGAAAAGGTCTTAGATCTTTGAGTTCAGCTCATGAAAAATGGGGGCAAAAACAAAAGTATTGCGTTTATAATTTTGTTCAGTGTAGTGATGAGTGTCCCAGAAACGGTCAATGTGCTGGACCTTCTTGACGTACGTGACCCCCTTCCCCCCCACCCCCACCCCAAATTGAAAGTGACTGTGATAGTGATGGCTCAGATAGGGAGTACCAGGGTGAAACAGCCCATTTGCCAAGTAGACTATTGAATGGCGACGCAGAGGTGAATTATCTGGAGGATTGGGCAGATGTTCATGAGAACCAAATGGTGTGCCCCACACATGACCACAAACAACCCTTTCTACAACGTACGGCCCATCTTCAGTGCACTGAATGAGTGAACACACATCTTCCTGAAATTGGCCTAGGACAGGGCCCAAGTGTAGTCATGGTCTAGCCCATACGGGTCTAGCCGAACAAGCAGAAGTTCCTCCAGGGTGTAACTTTGTACATGACAACCTTTTCACCTCACTAAGCCTTCTTCACGAAATGACAAAACGAGATATTGGATGTCTTGGAATGAATTGTGTCAATAGGTCTAATTGAAGAATTTGAATGAATTCTGACTATGTTGTTTCCCACCGGTCACTATTGTGACCGAGTATAAAACCTAATATTTCACTAACTTAACCAACATAAAATCAAAAAAGGCATAATGTTTGAGTGTTAGGGAGGTCTAAGGAGTAAAATGCATGTACTCAAGTTGCAAGAAAAAATTTGGGATTAAACGGGTTAAGAACAACAGTTATTTTTATGCCGCCGGCGGCCGTTTAGGTCTTTAAGGGTTAAAGCATACAGCACTTGTATTGAACAAAGTTTACAAAGAGTGACTGTTTTGTTAAAGGTTTTTTTTTTTTTACCATCGTTGTTGTAATGTATTGGGAAGGCAGAATACGTATCCATCAACAGAAGCATACATTAGTCTGTTTTACACGTTGTTATTTTCAACAATCCATATTATAGATGTACCACGGTTCATCTTAAATCTGATGACAAGTAGGGCTGTCACTTTACGTTCGAAAATCGATTGCACAATCGATCCGACCAACCAACACAAGTATCGAAAACGAAAATAGGGAAGCGATTTTAACGGCCTTCTCTCGGAGCGTGTCCAGCTCGTCACGACACGCCCGCAGCGAACGCGCGTCACACAGCAACTGCAGGCTCTGACAAACACGCATACAAACTATACTATCCTTCTGCATAATGTGTCTCTTTTTACAACAAAAATGTGAATTCTGCCGGTATTCAGACAGTCCCATGCATACAGATTCAGCCTACAATCGCCTACGTAGGCGAAACTTGTTTGACATTTCTAATCGTAAACACAGATATGTTGAAGCCTGCAGTAATGTTTTTCATTGATGTTATGGCAGTCCACTCTGCTTATTGTTTTTCGAGAATCTTGCACTCCTGTTTGTCTTTGTCATTGTGCATGAAACTTCATGCCAATAAATCATCAGAAATATTGCTGACTTGTGCGCGTCTCAAGCGCACTCTTTACCCTCGTCCTAACGCCTGTTAGTTGTCCGTGGATTTGCCTATATTTGGCGTTGAAAATGGAAACGTCTTTAGACATGGAAAATCGATTTTACAATCGATTCAAAGAACATTTATGTCTCAAAAATCGATCAGGATTTTTTCACAAAAGTCACAGCCCTAATGACAAGTGCGTGCCGAACCGTGGGTGGAGAATGGTTCAGTTTTTTACAGATAACCGTTAAACTCATAGTATATATGCATGCAAGTTTGAAGTATGAGCTACTTTACTGCAATTATTTTGTCATTAATTAAGAAATCTATCACTTGTTTATGGCAAATATCTAAACACCCCCAAAATAACACAAAAACAACCAGACCTACTGCAAGATCTCTTGCAGAGACAACCTGGACACCTTCCCAGATCTGATATCACATTATCAAAAAACAAGCTTGAGTTTTCGAAGTACCCCCTCCTGAGAACTTGGCCAGCACCGTGCAGCATAACTGTTCAGCCACACGCAATTTCATAAACAAGTGGGCGAGATTAAAATGTGTACCTTGACGCATGGCAGAATATGAGTCATGATGATGGTCTCCCTGCTGTCTTCAGGCAAATTTTCACAGAATACTGCAGAGATAAACAGGCCATGAAATAATGTTGTTTTTGTGTGGCTGTTTTCATAGAGAAATCAAGCTTTGGGAAGTTGGCAGAGGGACACCTCACCTTTCACCTTGTTGGCAGAAGCAGCCCGGACCTCTGCCTCGCAGTCTTTCAACAAGTTCTGGAAGGCCGGGACCAGATCATTCTTGGTGATCTCTGGGCCAACTGCTTTTTGCAACTTTACACAAACACAAAAACATCCACTTAGTCTAAGTCTCAGAGGAAATGTGGATAACGGCCAAATATGCGTTTCATAAGTACCCACTTCTGAGAATTTGTCTGCCACCATGTAGCGCACCCTCCAGGACTTGTCCTCGGCTGCCTGACGTAAAGTGGGCATGACCAGAGCCTCCAAGTCATCCTGCGGCAGGAGAGTGGCAATGCTGACACCAGCTTCTACCGCCAAAAGACGCACAGAGTCCTGCAGAGAAAAGTAAACGTCTGAGTTAATGACATAAGAATGCTATTTCCACCCACAGGAAGGAAAGAAAAAAACAATCTTTTAAAAATCTTGTTTCAAACATATGTGCCAAGTTCTTGAAAATTGTATCTTTATATTCATGTTGGGTTTGAAAAGTGCATATACCATTAGGAAAAGTTTTGATTTAATAACTCTAAAAATGTCATGTGTGGTGTAAACCAAGTAAAAAGGTAATGACACGTTTTAATAGCATACCGAGCACCAGGAGAGTATGTGTGCGCGGCTTATCGGTGTAAAAGACCCAACGAATGCCTGCATTGAAGTAGCGCGAGTACTGTGTGAGGAACAAAATTAACGTTTACGGAGTTTCAGTGACATTACTACATTAAACTACTATATGCTGAATATAATGTTTAATAATGCAATGGGGACATTTTTGTGGGTCTTCAGGCAAAATATATTATTATACATATATATTATAAACACACATGACCACAATTACATGAATAAATTCAATAAATATATTTATATAATTTAAAAAAAATTATTAAATAGTTATGTATAGTTTAAGTATGTATTAAATTGAATCGCACTTTAAAATAAATTAATAGATCTGGACAAAAAAAAAAAAAGAGCAAGCATCATGCCATTGACCAACCAATAGCCCCAATAAACAGTCTTTCTGTAAGCAAATGTGTACCAGCGTACCTGCTCATCAGATGCTAGTGCTGTAAAGAGAGGAATGATGTCACTCTTAACATAGTCCAGCTCCAGAACCTTAGCAAACTCGCCTAGCTTAGAGGCGGCGGCACGGCGCACCATGGGAGTGTCGTCTGAGCAAAGTGTGCGGAAGTGCCTGTGAAGACAACCATATCAATACTGAACATGACCACAGTGATCAAGGTGATGTTGAAAGAATATGTCATAAAAACAAGGCATCATTTGAACTTACTGACGGATTTCCGCTTTAACAGTACTGGACACACGAGGGTAGCAGACGCTAAACAGCCCGCACGCAGACGTTCGGGAGGTGAACCAGTCGCCGCTGGCCAAACGCTTCATAAGTGGCACAAAATGCACCTCTAGGTCTACGGGGGAATGTTCCTGAGAGATCTTTCGCAGAGACTCCACGGCCTTGTCCCGCACAACCGTTTCCTCCACTGTGGCCAAACTCTCCAGGGGAGGCTGAGGAGGAAAAGTGCAGGATGAAAACATGCAGTAAGGTGCGTCTCCACACCAGATAACCCATGGCTAAAATCTCATCTGGTCTCATCTCATCTAATTATTTAACCGATTCATTTGCCTCTTATCACTTACCAAGAGACAGTGCACAAACTCTGGACCTCCAACAAGTACAGTGAAGCTCCCGAGCTGCTCAGCCAAGGCAAGAAGAACTTCATCCTCATCATATATGGTGTCTACAGATGAAGGGATGTCAGTTAGCTATTTTGGCAAGTAATACTAACCAAAAGCAAGTGTAACTGATGTCAAGATCTTTGAAAGAACATCAAATGGTAAATAAATAACAGTACGTAGTACAATCCTTGAATTTCCTTCAGGATTAATAAAGTATCAATCATAAAAAAAAAAAAAGAAGAAGTTATTTTTCTAGCTTTTCTCTTCCTGTGCATTTCATTATATTTGGTTGTACGGGTTTGTTTGTTTTTTGGATGCAAGAGTAGTTTTATAAAAAACAAACATAAAACCACAATTAATATAACAAAAGTTTGCTTGTGAACCAAAAGAAAATCCAGTATGATATTTTAGTATAAAATTAATTTTCCATTTTAAATAAATAATAATAATAATAATACAGTTATAGTTATTCATTCATGCACTGAATATAACATTAACTAGTAATATAATTAAAATGTCATAACTTGATCTGGTGAAACAGACTCGGGTCTGGTGACGTATTTAGTACACCATTCATTTCAAATACTTTTGAATCCCGTCTCTTTCTTACAATCTGCTGCAAGTTTACATTCACATCTCCCTCCATCCAATCATTTTTTTCTTTTTCGATAAACCATTTCACAATACAAAAGAAAAGATGTCGCTACTTACATTACGATTATTATTGCAAACTAAAAACCCTATAATTTGATACAATATTAATTTAATAATTTATATAGCAAAAAAACATGAAGAATATAAATATATTCTAAAATCTAATATGAAAAAAAAAGTCTTTTTTGATAATCCGTTTCACTCGGATTATGGAAGAAAACGTTTGTCACTACTTCCGCTACATCATGACTATTGTTGCAAATTTAATTTTTTTTGTGCATTTTACAATATTTGTTAAAAAAATTATATAGCAAAAAAATATTAAATATATATTCCATCTAATAGTAAAAAAAAATAGCAGATCAGAAGAAAAAATGTGTGCAATGATTAAAAAACAAAAGCTATTTAGCAGTTAATTTGTATCATAAATACTATTTTTTATAAAAATTCTGAATCAGAGCAAATGCAGATGGATGAATTGAATTCTTACCAGTGAGGAAGGGCAGTAGTTCAGTCCGTGTTCTCTCCACACCCAGTGCCAGAGCAATAGTGGACAACTTCTTAATACTGTTCAACCGCAACTGAGGATGTGCACAGAATTACATTAATAGTCACACAAAAAAGATGCAACCCTGCCTTACATTATGTTTCATTGCTTTAAGCATAGAGATCTAGTTCAGTGGCTCTAATTCATAGTACTGGAGGACAGTTGAGGACCTCAACACTGCACATTTTGGATGACTCCTTCACTCACATTAAGGCTTCAAGACCTGCCTTGGGTGTGTCAGGTAAGGGGGACATAAAAAATATACAGTGCCTGGGGTCTGTCGGTTCAGTATCTAGACCCATAGTCTGGATCATGTCAAACCATAGACTGTAAAAAAATTGGTGTCAAACTCGCATCCTAGTGTACACCTTTTAACAGGCCGCCAAAAACGCATAGTATGCAGGCAGCCCACTACGTTTTGAAACACAGCCGGTCAATTTCATGATTATTATGAAGGCCAACTTCTATCCACACACAGGTTTCATTCTGTCTCATTCAATTTGAGCATTTTCTCCACAAAAACAAAATACTACAAGACAAGGAGGAAACAATAAGGAGAAGAAAAAGCGAGTTCTTTTGTAAATGATTCGCTGTATGAGAAACTCGGTTAGCGTAATGATAGAGGATGCTAATAAAGCGCGATTTATATATAAATATGAATCAAACACAAATTTTCTTAGAGTGATGTCTACCTGAACATCTTCATTCCTCAGTTCATCGATTAAAACCGCGATGGGATAAAGCGAATCGTCTCCGTCTGCTCCTGCCATTTTAGACTTGGATGATGATGATGATCACCTCAGACTCAGAGAAGCTTCCGCTCGAAACAAAGGCTGATGGGAAAACACCCTACAAATTTAAAGTCCAGTTACAGAGTGAGAACGAATTATAACCACATATGCATAGGCCTACATAAAAATAAACCCTCAAAAATAAAAATAACAAAAAAGCCTATATTGGTTGTAATATAATAAATAATATTGATTCATATATATTTAAAGTCAGAGGCAAATTAATATTGGGTTCCTTCTGGAATTTCCATTAGGTTTTTAGAAAGGCAGTTTTGGATTTATGATGAGTAACATAATATGGAGCTGATTTACAACATTAATTTCAGATAGTCATAGGCTACTTCAAAGGTAAATTCTGAAATCAGTGTTTAGGCCTACTTAAAATCCTATGTTATTAATAAATTGGTTAGGTCTAAAACGTTCATCTGATTCCCGAAGCACATACAATTAAATTCATGTGGTAGTTGTCATCTTTTGTAGAAACTTGTAAGCAACTAAATACCATAGACTGTATAAAAAATACAGCTTTGAAATTCCGATGCGCTTCTGGTCTTGACGGGAAGGATTCAGAATAATTGGAATGTACAAGTGCATGAATCAAATGTAGCCTACTATTGTAGTAGTATTTTTAGAATAGCTTACTTTTATAATGAAGTTGAGTAAAGAATGTGACAGAATGTCTTTTTTGTGTGTGTGTGTGAATTGCTAAAAATTTACAAGAAATTGATTGAAAGGTTTCAAGGTTATTGTTAAATAGTGCCAGGAAATCTTAGGGGGAAACACATCATTATTGTTGATTTAATATTTTCCAAAACACAAATATATTGGTGTTATTTATTTATACAAAAATAAAATCAGGAATTCTTTATTTTGACAAAGCTTTATTATTTCCATCCAGTCCAATGATATTAAAACAAAAATATTATTAAATATCCACATTCTGGGCAATCTACATTCTGTTTGGTTCGGTATATGACCCTAAAGAACATGCAGAGGGGGGCTGTCAGCTGTTAATAATCAAGTAGCTGGAGGCCACTCCGAATGACGTCAAGCATTCCTCGCTCACATCAGGCTCTCTCAGATCCAGCCCTGCCTCCGATCGCCTGTATACTCTTTCCTCAGATGCCTCCCTCATATTTTCCACTCTGAGCTTATTAATGTTAGAACATGATTCCTGTACTCTCTCCTCAAAGCTCCAGGCCCCTCCAGGTGTGTGCAGACCACCCTTGGCCCTTGCTGTTTATATAACATCAGGCTAAGCTCTTTCATGTACTCCACGCTTTTTAGGAAGCCCCAAGAAGAAAGAGATTCAGCCTGCACCCCCTACACCCTCATCTCAAGGATAAACATGATCTTGAAGTACTTACTTACGCCTGTGTGCATAGTGTCGGTGCCTGTTTCACATACCTGTATGAGAAAACCAGAATATAACTTTATACAGGATAGCAGGGATAATGACACTATCTTGTTTTTGCAAATTTATTCAGAAAATATTTGGCTATATCTAGGACTAAAATTTTATTTTAAAAAAATAATAATAAATTGGTACTGGGCACCTTGAATTTTAGCAAAGGATCTGTATTGTGCAATAAATTATTACTGATATTATATTTAATGAGCAGCATTACATTACGCCTACATGACAATCTGTTAATGTATTTCCATTTTTACTTCTCTCTATATGAGGATATATCAGCGCCTTGGCTAAGCTGCATTTGCATAAATTACTTCACCATGTCTGATTAGATGTTATACTTGTACTGTTGCTTCAAAAGTATAGTCATTACCTGGAAAAGAACATTTGTTCTTTGAATTAATCTCCGTTTGCTGTCTTGTTCCCTGATGTATTCTTCCAAAAATACATGGGAGAATCCATTCCTAACATGCAATTTTCTGCAATTTTACATTTCAATTTTCACAGCTAAGATTTCATTTAGTGTATGGGAAATTACCACATATATACACTGATGACCTTGAAAGTAAAAAGATTGCTAAAAACACAGTACATGTGCCAAACTGGCATAAACATATTAACTGCAAGCAGATGAACCTATCCGGTGGGTATGATGTCAGCAGGTAATTGGATGAATGTTCATCCAGTGGAAATACATTTAGTCTCACACCTCAACCACAGCCATCACTGTTCGCTCAACTTCTAGACCACGGACCACCAACTTAGAATGAATGACTCATGCCTGAAGATGTGGGCTGGTGACAGGTTACAATTTAGAGTGAATGGTGCTGGAGATCACCATTCAAATAGCACACGGATGTAGGCACAGTGAGGAAAAAACAAAGCAAAGGAAGAGATCGGTGGCTCAGGGTCACAGAAAAAGAAGGACAGATTCAGGCAAGAGGATGCTTGACTTGCCACATGGTCCGTTTGTGAAATGAACAAAACATTTGGAGTTAGTGGTAGTACTTATTCTAAATAACCTTTGCTGTTGCAACCCTTCTTCATTCTAGACCAAATCCTGAGCATCCAGCTCCGATGTACAGATTTGAAAATGGTCTTTTTGAGACACAGTTCCACAGTAAATTTATCCCACTGTAATTTTTTGGGGGAACAGAATGTTCACAGAAATTAAGAAGAGAGTTCCCTTAACCATTCTGTAATTTTGCAACTTTTTACAAAAAAGAATTTAGGAAAAGATTTTTTAAATTTAAACTGTAATATGTACAATAGGTAGTGTAAACAGAGGATTATGTAAAAATATATGGTCACTACAGTAATTATTTTACAGTAGTGAACCTGGCCGCGAATAACTGACCAATAGCAAGAGAGATTTCTTTTTTTACTGTTTGGTGGAAGTGGCGGTTAAAGGACACAACAAGAAATTGTGTAGCCTACCGGTAACTCACCAAGGTTAGTATATTATTTCTATTTTATGTAAAACAACAATAGTTTTAAACGTTTTCATTTGTAATGTTAACAGCAAACTAGTAAGATTCACTATGTCATTTTTTACGTCGTAAGATAACCATTTTCAAGAATGCAACAGCTAGTTGAAACTCGTTGATAGCAACAAATATTATTAAGCAAATTAATTTTGTCTAAAGGTTTTGTCAGAGTTCACACCACATCTATAACGGCACAGAGAAACGATATTTTTGGAATCACTTTCAGGACGATTTTATTCAGCTGATGAACAATAAAAACATTGACAGCCAATCAGAAGCCATCCTGCTGTAACAAGCTTGACCCTTTAAAGCGGCAGACAAGCACTCACGTAGAATAAACAAAACGATATCGCCCGCTGGTGTGGATGCTAATATATCATTATAGTTGTTCTTGGTGTGAACAGGCCTTTAATCCATATTATGGCCTTTCAACGGCACTAAAAAAAAGAAGAAAAAAAAGAGGTGTTTATAAAAAAGACACAAGGTTGCAAATTAAATTCAGTGTAGGCCTACCATGTACAATTTTTGGTTAACCAGAAAAGGTTTTTTGAAAAGAATGTTCCACTAGTGGTAACACAAACCATTCTGCAACTATTTTGTGACTTAACAACAGGATTTTTGAGAAAAATGTCACTTCTCCGCAGTGACGTGCTGATAACAGAAACTGCAGAACCTTCCAGAGCAAAGCACTTTTCAATCATCCATCAGATGATGTACGGCCAACCTCCCCCTCATATTTGCAAAGCTTATAAAAGTGCGTTGCTATGTTTGACGCGAACTGGGGGAAGATTTGAGGAGAGACCAGAAACGGAGCAGCTGCTGCACAGACCAATTAGCTGAGGCTCGTTCTGCTCTTCTGAATCAATTACTGCAGTCATTTAGCAGCAGAGGCAAACTATGGGCTGAGCTGACACTCGCTGACGTCAAACCTGCGTCCCATAAGGCTGTGCAGGCGGAGGTGTGATAGCAGGGATGTGAATGTGAGGGAGGGCAGGGGGTTGACTGCTCAAATCAAACCTTCTTGAAAGCTCTGAAAGCTGTTTTCCCCCCTGGATCATACATCCATTTCCTCCTCCTTTTTCTGAGTATGGCAAAGACTTGCACTGACGTCACGGCGTGAGGCCTATGAGTGTTCAACAAAGGTGAACGATAAAGAAGCATGGTGCTGATGGTGTTTTTTGGGCCTGAATGTGCCCTGGATTACTTTGAACTGTCTGAACACAAGGGACTGCTTGCTCAAAAACCTTTTATGTTACGAAACAACACAGCTGAGTGTGATCTTTGAGGCAAAGGTCATGCAAGTGCTGTTATGAAACCCATGCTGTAATGAGGTTATCGGTCTGGTCCAATTTTTACAGTAGACCTTCATTACACAATTTAAAACATTTATATTAGCCAGCCTTAACAAGTGTAAGACTGGAAAAACTGGAAGAGAGGGCTACTCTCTGAGAAAACAAAGGAAATTAACATTTGAACTCTCTTGTTATATTACCATCCCCATTCGAGACACGATCACACTTGAATTGATCACCTCCCAATTTACACATCATTCCCTTCACCCATCCCTACCTGAATTCACCCAAAAATCTATATGGTTTAATATGAACAATTATCATACAGTATTATACATGTTTGGTATCATTTAAAATGTCTCAGTGCGACTGGTACAAAGGTCTCATTCCAACAGAAGTAAACCGAAAAGGTAATAAGGTGTGGAGATTTAGAGATATCTTGTTAACTGCTGTGGGTGTGCCCCCATGTAAAGCAACTTCTGCCCCCAGTAAGTCTGGGACGGTGATTAATGCAAATTCCCACTGTGAACTCATGTTTACATTTAAAAAGATGTTTCTGCCTTGGTCTGAGTATTTAGGGAGATGCTGAAGAAGGCTCGTGGCGATTTGTAACTTAAATTAGCCCGTGATGCAGAGTGAGCAATCCGCATCATGTATTTTATAATGTCAGATACACATCTTCTCTCTTTATTCCAGAGCATTTGATGTTTAGTATTTATTACATTTGAACTGATTATGAAATTGGCATGATACATTTACCTGACATTATAAATTGTTACATTTGATTTTATTCCGACTGACTCTGAAATTGTTTTCCCAAGTAGATTAAACGAATTCGTATGTTACCGCAATTTTTGCG